GCGGCGAGGAATGCGAAATCTATTGCTACTGTTGTGTTGCATTCGGTTCCGACAGCGGAAAGTAATAATTATTATTATTTATTAGTTAATATCGACGACGTACGATACCGCGACTATGATTCCGTTAACCCTTTGCACTCGGATATCCACTGGGGATAGAGTCACGTTGTACGTGACAGATATTACAGGTTATGTTAATTAATTAAGTCGACCGTGTTCCCTTGGATAAACGTGTGCTTATGGAAATGGAAATTGCGAGAGAAAGCGGGCCAACTATTCCTTAACTATGAATAGTTGTTCTGTGAAAAGAATATCAAGTAAAGGATTTCCTATAAATGGCTTTGGTCTCTGTTTAATGATCAAATGTGCCTGACAATGATGTACTATTGACATATTGTTATTTGTGTTAACAGTGTCATTATGTATTGTTGAAGCACCTTATACGTATACCTTATCTATCTGGAAAGATCGAATTTAAATAGAGAGAAAGAAAAATGGTTGATTGATTGATTAAACGGAACAATATTGATTTCGAGTCGATCCAGTGCCACAAAAAGAAAGAACAAGTATTAAGCCTATAAACTCATATGTTAGGTTACAATACGTTTTCCGTTACGTTAAAGTGAATCTTTCATCAATAAATATCACATTGTACACTGCATCGTGCTAATACATTCTTCTATCAAAGGGTGTATGTGTCGTGTTATAGAAAAAAAGAAAATAAATAAATACATCTGTAACTAACATTCGATAACCTCCAGGTTGTTAACCTTTTGCACTTGAGAGATGACTGACAGTCCTAACTTAACCTCGATGTAGTTACTCTAAAAGTGACATGTGACTATTTACATTGATGCAGTAAATTTCAAGTTAGATAATGTTTACAAGGTATAATTCTTTGACAGGTAAAGGAGACTTGATTATTAAATGTTAAATTCATTGCAATCCTACAACTTCCAAGCTAATATATGGCTTTGCATTTACGTTGTACAAAGCTAAGAAAGCATTCTACATTTGTTGATACATACTACAAAAGAGAAAAAAGAAAAAGCCTTGAATGCCAAAGAGTTAACGCACACCTAGGCCACGAAACATACATAGTTACACTAATCGCATAGAAAAACTTGTCTTAATTTTGTTTGTTAACCAATGTATCATACATTCCACAGTCCGATTTACACACTGTATCTCACTGACACTACGCTAACAATTGCACTCATCTCCTAGCAATCGAGATCGGTGCGAACATTCACTTGTTGTCTGCGATGAGTTTCTTGTGATCGTATCAGCAGAAGACAATCCTTTTGCAGGCTTCTTCTCCTCTCGTACAAGCTTCCGGGCACAATCTTGGGCACAAAGAAACTCTACTCCAAGAAGGAATAACCTCGATTGACATTTTCCATTCGATAACCTAACGGCTAACGCCGTTGATCACTTATCTTTCTCTTCTCCCTGCAATATTAAAATTATGTTAGATTACTTCTCTTCTCTTGTAAAGAAACCAACGATAGCAGTTTAAATAGCAACAACCTCGTGTTACGTGTCACATCCGACAACGTTCGTAGATTCGCTCGTCTTCCTCTTCTCCCTACGAAATATGAATTATGTTAGATAGGACTACAATCTCAGACGTATGTTTATGACTAATTTAATTTAATACTTGGCATAATTTTTGGGAAAAGAATAACGCACGTTCTTTCCTTCTTACCGACGACCTGCTCACCTGCTCACAGTGCTCACGCCTAGCACTGTGTTACGCGTCTCAGTGGTTGAATTTCTTAAAAAAAATTCTCTTTTCCCGTAAAAAAAGTCTATCTTTCGGAGAAATTATAAACAAAGGTTACGATTCTTTGTAATCTGTAATCTAGTTTAATTGTTGTACCTCATGCATTTCCTCAGTCTTGCACATATGTATTATTCTTTTTTGCCCTACCATGTGCCTCTGTTAATTAATTAATCTTTTTGTATTTATTTGTAATTAATTAATTGATTACAGGCGAAACGTAAGTAAAGCAAATGTACTTGTATAACTAATAAAAAGGATTCTAATACGAATTTTGAACACTGCCATGTGTCGTAATCATGTTCGTTTCAATGTTGCCGGTGCGCCTATACTCGTGCTATATCACGGCGCGGCGTGTTGTCTAAAATTGAGTAGAGTAAACATTGAATTGAATTGTGCCAGTTGCGGCGACCTCTTCGAAATATGTCGTCCGTCAAGGTATTTACGGAAAGATTTTCTAAATTCAGTTGTTAGCATTTCGAAGAATTTAGACCGCGTAACCACATTGTTGTAAACAAATGTTACGTTAAATAGAATAGCCGGTCTTGCTGTGTCTGCAACAAGTTATTCTGCTGCGAGAAATGCTGCGAACGTCACAAAAAGAGCAAACATTCGAGCCAGGAATTGAGCTGTCCTCTGTGCACTTCCCAGAAGCTTTCGATACTTGGATTATTCGACGATAAATTGCTGCTTTATCACGTACAGATCGCTCACCTTCCTTTATATTGCCGATTGTGTGGTAAAATTTTCAGTCGGATCGAGAATTTGGAATCGTTTGGTAACTATTAATTATCCATCTCACGTATGTACCAATCATTTTCAATTATTTCTTCAATGTTATTTTAACATTCGGATAAAGGCACGTGCAAATGGTGGACGTCGCGTCATCGTCATTCGCTGGTATTTGATAAAAAGTCCATACCGGTGTCATCCGACGGAAAAGAATCGCCCATAAATGCAGAATGCAATGGCAAATTCAAATCATTGACTTCACCTCCAGAGCTCTATAGAAACACAAGTACGCCCATGGTGGTCGGACAAAAAAGTAATTTAGACTTCAAAACACCGAACGTACCGAACTTTTCCTTCAAGACACCGAAAACTAATTCCGTATCGTTGGTAAAGCAAATTCGTAGCGACTCGCAAGACAGCTCGAATAGCACCTACCTAAGCTTCGCGATTTCCGCGAACCACGAAGAGACATCGTTTCGTTCGGTGTCTTCGAATCGCGAAGATAAGGACGATCGTCGTACAAGTAACTCTGAAATAAGGAAACTGGATATCATGAAGGAGAAGGAGGAAAAGGTTGATTCAAAGCTAACTTATCGCATCGGTAATAATAACGATGTCGAGGATATGGAACTTACCAGCCTCGTGGGCGAGATTGTATTTCCCGACTTGCAGAGTTTAGAAATGTGCGTTGAAACGGAGAAACGATCCGATTCCTTGAAGAAAGTACGATTTTCCGACCAATACGAGACTCTTCCAGGCCAGTCGAGCATGGCTAATAACCCCTTCAACGCCACGGAAAACGAGAACGAGGAATACTTTGAAGCATGCGATACGCTATTGGGCACAAAAGAACCCCTGAAGAATCCGCAAATAAAAATCCATGAGGAGCAAAGCACAGAAAAAGAAAATTACAGCCCGAACAGACGCGATATGAAAGTTAATCAACAACAACAACAACAACCGTCTGGTTCTTCGCGTGTGGTGATGATGGTGGTTATGGAGAACAACTCTACCCTCTCGACCTCTGATCTTATCGATTCTGGGTTAAAAAAGTTTGAACAATTCGCTTCCGAAGCCTATGTCTCGGCCAACAGTCGTAGCTCTCCTGATTGTAATAGCTCTTTCAGTTATAACTGCTACGCAACAACACCGAGTCAAGTGGTTAGTCCTATACGGAGGGACTCGTCCACCTCGTCGAATGGCAGTAGCGAGAGCAGCAGCTCTAGTGGACTTTTCTCAGCAGTGGCCAACGCGGTGAGAACCGTAATGAAGAACTTGTCGGGTACGTACATATATAATTGTAATTATACGTATACATCGTGCACCATTCGGTAAAAAGAAAAAAGAAATCAAGTATGAACCTTATTATATGTATCGGTGGACCAACTCTGCGTTACACCGATTAAATTACAACTCCTCGAGTATTAGAAATATTAATCCCGTTCCTTTTAAATGCGTATTTACAAAATTTCTAGTTAACCGACATCCAATAATTTCAAGATTCTTGTACTTGTACTTTTTTCGCACTTGGCTTATTACAGGAGTGGGAAGTTCCAGAAATATCGAAAACGAGCAAATTTCTCGCCAAGAGGACATTATTCCGAGACCGTCTACTGGCGAGACGTTCGATTCGGTGTCGAGCTGCTTAGCTTCTTCTCTTTTACGAAGACCAGGAAAACGTCCAAGGGACACTTTAGAGAACGCATCCTCGTCGCAGAGACCGATAGATGTGATCGTTCCACAAGTCGAATTCAAAAGTCCACTTGCCAAGCGACATCGCGGTCGGTACAGAATCAAAGGACGAGAACCGATCGCGAGAATGCGAAACAATCGACTTACGTCACCAAGGGGTGTGTCTTCCGAGACCCAAGTTTTTCATCAGGGATCACTTTCTGTTGGTGATACCGTTCTCCCTCTTCCTTCTAGGGCACACCAATCCACGCAAACTGAATGACTAAAAAGCTATATAGAAGGGCACCCTTGTAACATTCACTGTTTTGCATTTTTTAATGATCCAATCCTATAGACATACTTTTTCTAGACTACTCGATACTATATAATTTTGAATACGTAACAAAATTCGTCGAATTATATGTCATTCGAAATAACTATTTGATACATATTTGATAAACTTTCGTATAGAATGACCATATTGCCATTTATACCATTAAGTAGTTACCAGACATCGTGTAAAATGTAACAAGTTTATGTAATCTAAATCTTATTCTGTTGAGATATGATATTTGCTTGTATTTAAATAAAATGACGGTAATGTACTTCTTCTCGCTTGCATAATTTATTACTGTTATCGTTTGCTTTATAATCAAATATTCTTACGAAAAATGTAAAATGCTTGTTACGTTTGTTGAGAAAATTGTAAACAAGCGAGTGTTTAGCGTTATTACATTTTAAATATACCCATTATAAATATACTTTTGCAGACGAAACCAACTCTACCAGAGACTACTAGGTGTCAGCTCGATCGAAATTTTAAATCCTCGAATGCGTGCACGTGATTTATATTATAACGTAACATAACCTCTACTTTCAGTGTTGCTTTCAATTGCTTTGTTGCTTTTAGTTCTTCGATATGACAAAAACAAGTCGATTATATTATATTTCTTTTTAATGAACTAAACGGTTTTTGTTGAAACGTGAACGATATCTATGTACGTTTTTCTATACGTTTTCTACAATTGTTCAAGTTTCAAACGCTAGAGAATTACTTTTCAATTAGAGAAAACATTGTTTCCGATAATTATCGTGCATTTCTTTCAGGTTGAAGCATGTCTTCGTGGAAAAAAGCAGCGAAAGCCACGCAAAAGACTCATCGGGAAAGGCATCAACTAGAATCTCGCAAACACTTGGGCCTTCTTGAAAAGAAGAAAGACTACATTGCCAGAGCTAGAGATTATCAAGAGAAGCAACGAACGTTGAAGCTTTTGCGTAAACGTGCCCTTAATAAAAATCCGGATGAATTTTACTTTCATATGATCAATTCTAAAATTGAAAATGGGGTTCATAGGGAGAAGAGTAAAGAGGATACTTGTACTCCGGATCAGCGACAATTAATGGAAACTCAAGATGTTCGATACGTTGCTCACAAGAGAAACATAGAAGCAAAGAAAATAGACAAGCTTCAAAGTCAACTACACATGATAGATGTTGCCAACCAAACTGTAAATACACATGTATTCTTCGTTGACGATACCGAACAAGTTAGAAACTTTGACATTGCAGAGAAACTGAATACTCATCCGTCGTTGATATCTAGACGCACGAATAGACCAAACTTGAACAAATTAAAGAATATGAAATTACCGGAATTGGACGAGACAACTTTAAATAGAATTGAACAGAGAAAACACATGGCTTATAAAGAATTGGAGAAAAGAATCAACAGGGAACAAGAGTTGACCGTTGTGCAACAAAAGTTAGAAACGCAAAAAGCATTGAAAGATAAGAAAATAAGCAAACCAAAATTAATATCTAAGGGTACCAAAAATTCTGCACCCATCTACAAATGGAAATTTGAAAGAAAGCGATGATTTATTATTTATGTATAACTTGTCGCTTTAATAAATTTTACTTATTATGTATTTCTTTACCAACTCGTACATATTGATTAGCAGTATATGTAATCTTAATCGATATCCTTAAGCGTAGTGGATCTGCTTCCAGGTTCTGTTATTACTTCCACATCTCGGATCGTTCCTGCAGCGTCAGTTTCAGTTTTAGATGTCGTTATTGTTGTCGGTGATGTCATTGGATTATTGGGTATTGCCGCCGTCGTTTTGATTATTATACTCGTGGACGTTCCGAGAAATTCTTCGGTTCCGTTCGTTATTTGTATCGTGCTATTTCCTAATACCACAATCATCTCTGTTGATATGCTAATGCAGTCATAATTTATTTGCCACTGTTGTTTCTTTGAGAAAACGTCCAATCGAAGGCAAACTGTTATCGACCTTATTGTAAAATTTTAAAACAGTTTAGTTGGTGTAGAACATTGAATCGATCGACTAAAGATAAAAGATGTCAAAGTCAAAAATAAGTAAAAATTTCCTTTGTTCTGTCTTTTTGTACCTGGAGAACTGATTCAGCTCCGATACATTTACACATGCGTACGAAAAAAGGCATCCTGGTATGGTAATGCAAAACTTGAATGGTTTATAATCTGTAACAAAGTAACAAAATATGTATGTATGTATGTATGTATGTATGTATGTATGTACAGATACGCATAGTTGCGTATGTATGACGTAGGCATGTATAATCGATACCTGTGATGTTTCTGGTTTTTATTCTGTTGGTATTCAACATCACATTGAACGTTAATCCATTATTTTGATGAGTGACGTTCACGCAAACTATGTAAAATGATATAAATTTCAATTAATAATTTATTGTATCAAGATTAATTTCAAGAAGGGAGTTAGAGACAAACGCAAATTGCAACGATACGACTTGAAAAACTTACGTCTTTTTTCAGCTTTAGTATACAAAATAATAACACTTTGGCAGCAAGAACACGAATACTTTGTTGGACAGGTACAATATTTCCGCCAAGAGGTCGAAATCGTTCTGTAAGCCAGAAACCCGTTCGATATGGGAAAACCTAACGCACATTTAACGATACATAAATTGAACGTATTATCGATCAAATTACGAATAATAGTTGCAAAAAAAAACAAACTGTGTTCCGTGGTAACGCCAGACCATTGCAAGAATATTTGTATCAAAAATATAGTAATTTGCAGATTATATATTCTAGAATTCATGCTTAGAAAGTTTTAACGCACATTTCCACAATGGTACATGAACTGGCTGCATATGGCAATATACGGTAACCATAATCGACAATCGGCATTCCATCAAACAATGGAGCATGACACGGCCGATTGCCGTACAGGATGCTGTGCAATTTCCGAGGTATACTAAACAAAAAGTAGCTTTCGTATTCATTCGTTTATTGCTCTCAACCCCGGGAACGCGTATCACGTGCTTTGAAACATAAAATCAAGTGAGTTTTAGCAGTTAATAAATAATTAAATTATCACGGTATTCTTTTTAAAAAGATACGGTATATATACATTGTTACGATTAAGTAACAGTAACAACGCATGATTACACTAATACATCGGTCGTATAGATAATCGATAAAAATTTTAATTCTCTTAGAAATCAAGTAAATCGTCGTCGTCGTCGTCGTCGTCGTCGTCGTCGTCGTAGTCATCGTCGTCGTCGTAGTCATCGTCGTCGTCAGCGGCGGCGGCGGCGGCGTAATCATAATTGTCATCATCTTCATCGTTGTCGTTGTTTGGTAAAAATTCTATTTGACCTAATCCACCCCCGTCCTCCGGTTTTACTAGAGCCAACCCGTTCGAGCCGAATCTAATGCAGTCTAGACCAACCTGAAAATGTTCATATTCGTTATTATACAATAACGTACAATACATATGTACATACACGTATGCATATCCGTGACATGGACGTGTTATATTAATTTGTTTACCTTAAATATGATTGTCTCTCTAAACTTCCCCTCCATATTCACGCATAGATGAATGTTTCTCCCCTGGAAATATATATTGTAGAATCTGACGCAGGCTTTAACGACTGGTATTCGTGGTACTGGCACGCATACTGGCCGAGGATTCTTCCCTAAATCATGGAAAGTAATACCAAGTTGTATTTGTCCAAGTATCGTACAATATAAAGCGAGCCCAGGCTGAGGGTAAGAAATTTATTGCGTTACGGTACAGTACTTACCGGACACGGTTCTTGTGTACAACACTTTATCGTTCATTGATATTTTTGCTGTGAAACTGAATTCGTCTGGTTCGTATGTCACGTTTACGCAAGCTTTTTGTTTCCAAGTGTCGTATAAAATTCGTGAGCAACAGCTGCAAACACCGCCGCGGCATTGACAAGGACCTTGTCTCGTCGCAATCACTTGTTGCGTAGTTGTGTTCCAAGTCGAATTCGCCGCTTGCTTCAGCGATCCTTGCAATTCCATCGAGCTCTTCGAGTGGTGGTCGTCTTTCGACCGGAACGAAAGTACGGTTTCGTTTATGCAAGTTTCCGATTTTTCTACCAAATGCATGGTTCTTCTTTTGTTCGTCGTCTGGAAGGTGCCTTGGATAAAAAGAAAGGCGAACAAGAAGAACCAGCCGATTCTCATTGTTCGATCTTGGCCACGTTACGTTTTTAGTTAGTGCGAGAGGACATCTTCAACGGTGTGCTCCTTGCCGAACGATCGAAACTTGACTGGTCGGTTAACGGACATTTCGTTTTGACCTCGTTTCGGAGGAGAAATTCAGGCTTGTCGGGAATAGTCTATCCGTAGTTAATTTTCTAGTAAATAGATAAATAAGAGACGATTTGCGTAGAAATTGACCACGCTTAAAGCGTTAAATGTGATTCCATTGGATTCATAAAAAATAACGTCCATTTGAACGGAGAATATCATTCGATCGATACTTGAAACGTTGTACGCGTATTACAATATGTAGTATGTAGAATGGTATGTAAATGCTACCGTTCAAGGATTATATAGTAAGAAAGATTCGAATATGGAATTTGATTTATTCGAGCAATAATAATAAGAAGTAGATGTACCTACCTATAAATCGTTTAATTTATCCGTTTAATATACGAGTACTGCTCGAAACATAATTATACGTGAAATAAATATAAATTGTCTAAATTCAATGTTTATGATTGTATCGGAGTCTCTTTTTTGTCGTTGCGTGTAATAAATAAGTAATCATCAATCATCGAAGCTTCGAAACGACGCCGACGCGCGACCGTCATAACTTGAGCTGTCCAATTAACGCTTCCTGTTCGGGGCTTAACGTTGACTGGGTGTAGTTTACGTAAACCTCGAGATCTTGTTGTTCAAAGTCCACTTGGTCGTACTCTTCGAGTTCGCTTACATCCGGTTTCGTTTGAAGAGCAACAACGGCATTGCTATCGTTTCCAGGTTTTGACCAGGAAATGCCATCAGCCCCCACTTTGACACAGTTAAAATGTAAAATCAAGATCGGCGAGCCGACGATGCGTGTCTCCAAGTCGATGCAGGCGTGAAGATTTCTCCCTATGGTGTACATGTCGAAGAAACGAATGCAAAAGCTCGCAAAAGGCAGGTAAGGCATCGGGGAACACAACGGTGGTGGATTTTTAACTGTGCATTAATCAGGAGCGAATTAAAAACGTAACTGTGCTTCTTAAAAAAAGAATTACGATCGGAGATTACTTACCGGAAAAAGAGTTGGTGTAGATTTCTCTCTCGTTCATGCTCAAGGCCAATTTAATAGCAAATTCGGAAGGGTCATAAGTGAATTTGGTACACGCGCGACGGTTAAAGTTGATCGCTGTCATATTGATTCCGGTACAGCAGCTACAGGTAAGTTGTTCGCAGTGACAGGGAAGACCTCGAAATCCAACCTTAACAGTTAACGGATCTCTACCAGAATCCTCTAATTCTGCTTTCAGTCCAATTCCAGTTTTCACATCGTAATAGGACGCATTGTATTGACGAATGTCTGCGCTCATTATACAAATTCGTTAAACCGTTTGCACATAAGCAAAGAAATGCCATCCTCGACGTTAACTCTAGTTACATCAAACTTTAGAAATATTGTTTATTACCTATGTGATGTTCCATGCGGTGAATCGTAGCACTAGAATTGTTTTGTATCGCGAGGAACAGCACAAAAATGTTCATCAACTTGTACAGCATAATGGCTGATGAAGAGGAACGTCTGTCGTTGATCGGCACTGCTCGAGCACTGAAATTGGGTTGAACCCCCACCGCACCATCATGATTCTACGCTTCATTAATTATGGATGAACTTTCGATGGAAAGTTTGATCGGGATTATTACAAATACGAGTCGACGGATTAGAGTAGAGAGTAGTAGTTTTCGAACTTAAACAGTTTGTACGTTCATTCGTATATTGAAATTCATTCGTAGGCATTGTAAATATTTGGAATATTATGAAAATGTAAAATATAGGAACGCGCGCAGTAGATAAGACGTAGCTGACGTCTAGGCTCTAGAGAAATATTTCAGCGACGCTACTATCAACAGCGGAAGGGCAGTTCTCGAGAAGCGTTCTCGTTGAAAAACACGGCATTTCTTAGGGAATAGACTTTCATAAATAATCAGATATCTCGGAAATTTTGTATGGCTGTAAAATAAACGATACAAATCAAAACAAAAAAACTCTTTGGAAATATTCGTTTATTTGATTCGTTTAATCATAGTTTGAATAAATTAATTAAATAAATACACATAAATATGTTCCCGTCTTAAATAATGTTACACTAATCGAGCAATTCGATATGGCCTGAGGTCGCAAAACAATGCTCGCTTCATTTTTCATCATTTTCGATCCTCATCTTTGTTTTTCGAATGTTCATTCCATACTTATCGGCAACCGTATAATAAGAAAGAAGATGACGAGAAACGAAACAAGTCATCAATCTCTATATTTCTTAAACTAGCCAACGACGATCCGTCGTTTGATAAAATCATTCGACAACCAAGTCTTTGTCGAATCAACGGATCGTTCAGAGAATACGAAAAGTCTCGTTTCATTTCATCTCATCTCATGGAATGCAATTATTCTACGACTGGCATGGGAATGGACATACATTGACCTACGTAGCTTTAAGCCTCATAACTTTGCTTTGACGACCGCTTCTCGAGTACCTACTCCTCGCCAAAAATTCGGAAAGACCGATCTCGTAATCCCCGTCGTCATCGTCATCGTCAGCATCGCTCGTTTCAGCATTCTTATTTATTTTGCTCTTTTTACCAACTTCTTTCTCATCGTATACAAGCGCACTGATCACAGCATCCTCGTCGTCGTCGTCGTCGTCGTCGTCGTCGTCATCGTCATCGTTGACAAGATCCTCGATTTCTTCAGTCTTTTCATCTTCGTCCTTGTTATTCTCGTGTTGTTTGTCATCTTGCTCCTTTTCATAGTTTTCTTCGCTTTGGTCGTCGTTATCGTTCTCGTCATCGTCATCTGCCAAAATCCCTTCATCCTCGTCGTCGTCGTCGTCGTCGTCGTCGTCCAAGTCGGTCCCTAATATATCATCATCGTCGTCGTCGTCGTCGTCGTCGTCTTCGCCCTCTTGTATCGGTTTCCTTAAAGGTTTTTTCTTTTTATTTGTAACATTTTCGATCCTGTTGATGCTGTTACTCGCGTCGGCGTCGCCAGGCTTCTTCTTTTTGTTCGTTTCCGACGTTGTCAGTTTCGTAGTTGGCGTTTTCGCAGGTTTCGCGTACGCAGCGATTTTATTCGAAACCTCGGTGACAATTTCTTCGGCATCGTTGGCTGTTACGTTTGCAACGGATAACTCTTGGGCGTTTTCCTCGGTGCTGTCGTCGTCGTCTTCTTCTTCTTCTTCTTCTTCTTCTTCTTCTTCTTCGGCGTTCAGTGACTGATTGTACTCAGCAGTGGACGCCTCGTGTGATTCCAAAGGTGACACGGACGTTGGCTTAGTCAGAATCGGAATCGTAAATTGAAGAAGTGGAGCTGCTGTAGTGACTTTTGGTTTTTTCGTAGAAGACTCGTCGTCACCCGTTATGATATCCAGGAGAGCACCGAAACCAAGTACATCCTCATCATCGTCCTCGTCCTCGTCCTCGTCTTCGCCGGAAGAGTTTGGCACAGAGTTGGTTAACGGTGAATCCCCTTGGTTGTCGTCGTTTTCGTCATCCTCGTCGGAACCCAGACCAAAGAAATCGTCATCGTCGTCGTCGTCGTCGTCGTCTTCCGGAGCTTCCGCTTCGACGATCGGAAGTGGCTCCGCTGGTCGCAACTTGAGACCGTCGGGACCAAATCTTGTAAAAGCAACAACTTTTTGTTTCGATACATGTTGTACAGATATCGTTACACTGAAATTAATACTATTTATATAGTTGTATAGATCGTTACCTGAAGCAGCTTACGCGTAAACTTGCTTCGAGTTCGGTCGAGGACTGAAGCTCCAGTCCGAGACAGGCTTTAAAGTGGTTCTTAGCGTCGCGTTGAATCGAATAAATTCTCCCGCAAAATTTCGTGAAACCTCCTGGCAATGGAACGCACACCGGCTTTGGATTTTTTCCTGAAACCCGTCGTATAGAATTATACGATCTTTTAAGGTACGTGTATGTACGTGTATTTATGACTTTCACCTTTTCAATAACTCGTATACCTTTTCAATAACTTTACTCTGACGCGACATCCGACTTTCAGTGTTTACTTTTCGAGTAGAGAAATGGATATTTTGGAGCTAGATTTAGGTGAGAATATCAAAGTGCGCTTCCCGAACTCGTCGTCCGAAGGTAACCGTTGCTGACAATGAGATGAACTGATTGCGAGCCGATTACAGTCGTACACAATTAACATACTTTTCGTAAGAATAGCTTTTTTAAACTCGCAACAACTTTAAGAGAAATTTTTCAGACATTTTGTTTGTTTTGAAAAAGCGACTCGACATCCCCAGGTAAAATATAATATAAAATTAATAACAACTTGGAAAAGCATATTTCCAATCTGATCGATCGACAATAAAGATTTATTAGGAAAGTAACTTTTAAACGATACGCTTACCGTTTACGATAGTGCTAGTCAAAATGTTGTCTCCGAAGCTCAGTTGCACCGCTAAATTGTCCTCTTGTAAATATTGCAAGGACGCGCATCCTGAAACGTAGGATTATGATTAATTTGTTTAACTGTTTCATGCGTATAGGACGGAAATGTAACGTAACGAGAATAGATTGTCCGACTTTCTCAACAATTATTCTTTCTAATATCTGTGTACCAGTAGGTATTAAGGTGTTAATTGATTTACACAAGGATTACCTGGTCCCTGTAATTGCACCAGCGGTATGTGAAAGTCCCTGCAGCAATTGCATATGTTCTCGTTACAGGTGCAGTATCTGTTGACGTTGTCGGTCGCTTGTTTTAGCGATAACGTTGATACTCCAACGTTATTTTTGTTTAAATCGGAAGCATCCCTGATCGATCGTAGTACGATCCGATTGTGTTCTGGAAATGATGGCAAAATTTTGTTTCAATTTTGTTTTATTGCTATTTTAAATTCGTAAAACAAACAATTTAAAACAAGCCAAGTATGTAGTACCGAAGAAGGCGTTTAAATAACTCTAACGGCTACTTATGTATATAAAACTGATTTAATAAACGTTACGTTTCACCGTTTCGCGTGTGCTGTCGTTCGAGTGAAAAATAATAATTGTTTGAGTATTCGCGGCGAATATACTTATTAAATTGAATTTATAATAAGATGAAGAATGAAAGTAAAGTATAGGAATGGCAATATTCGAATGCGTGGGAGAACTTTACCGATAACTCTTCCATAAGCAGCGAACGCAACCAAAAGCAGAATCAGCAACAACTCGACGACCGTCGAAAGACGCATCCTTTTGTTCGTTCGTTCGTTCGTTCTATCTGAAATGGAAAATTTATAAATTACATCGATTGCACCTATATCGTCCGTTCTACATGAAATTGTATTTGATTACATTGGTCCCATCGCGACCGTAAAATGACGAGAAAATAAAAAACTGACTCGATCGGTGTCTCCTTGTAATTGTTTCCGACAAAATAAACGATAAATAAGGTTAGAGTAAACCATAAATTCTATATACACATGTATATCGAGCGATAGAAAAAGTAACGGAACGAATAGATCGCGTTGCGAGTCGCGCGCGTGGCGCGAAGAATCCTCTCACCGGATGTGAGAGTAAAATGTGGAAAGAAAACAATTCAGACAGGTGTTATGCTTGTTAACAATGAAACACGATTGTTGTTTTATAACGAACCGATCATTTCGAGTTTCAAGTACACGGAAGGAACGTTGTGACGTTGTTTGCCAGCGATTTCGAACGGTAGACTATGGCGCGGCGCGGCGAGGCGAGGCGAGGCGAGGCGAGGCGACGCGACGCGACGCGGAACTTCTCGTCTGCTGTCGACCGGTTGACCTAAATCCCGGTCACGGTCAAAGACGTCCTCCGAGGAAAGTTCACCGTTCAGCTGGGGTACATAGAGTTTGGTAACGCGATCGAAAAGGCACATGGTTGCGATTGTGCATATAGTCACGTCGTAGTGACAAGAACTGGTGACGGTATGCCTCGGTATGTTTGTCCGACTTATCGTTCTGACTCTGTCATTACAATTACCGATAATTTTGCGCAAAAAAATGATATTGAATCAATTTCGATTCGTCTCGAATGTTAACTGCGTCAACTGGAAAACAGAAATGCCAACAGAAGAGAGGTAAACGTTAAGCAGAGGTTTTTAAATTGCGGATCGATTACGTGCACATTAAATAACTGGCTCGAAGAAAGTTTAGCGATGAGAAGCGATTTTCATTCGCACGATTGCATCTGAAATTTGCGAATGAAAGCGTCGACGGCAATAAGAAACTCGCCAAGTTATTAAACTAGTCTAAACAAACTCACCTGCAACTTATAGAAAGAAATTTGAAGTAAAATTATTTGTATTAGCAGCCAGACGCGATTCCTCGTTGCACCCTTCGACTCTTTTTTCCGACTCTTCGTCTTACGGAGGCCAATGTCTAACTGAAGATGCCGCCCAACTCCCCCCAAAGGTTTCTTTAAAAGTCGGTCAAGCCGCCACCACCACCTACCTCAGCGAACGCTACGATTATTAAACACTCTAATACGCTCTAGGTAAATAAGACGATCATTCCCCACCAACAGGGATTACTTGCCGATCCTGCCAGACAGTCTTCCCTGACGACAACGACGCGCGACACGATTCACGATTCGTACAAATATTCGTATGCGAGTGTGCAACACGTGTTATCGTTATGAAAAGCCGGAAGCAAAAGTTGTTGTTATCCTTACGGTCCGGTCGGTCAATCTTCTTTCAGGAATGAATGTTAATTCGTTCTTAATTTCGATTTCGCTCCCTTGCTATTCGAGTAATTCTACGTACGTATAAGCTTAATCGAATCACACCTCGCCTCGGTCAACACATAAATATGATAATTTCGAAAAATAGATAAATTTGCATTGATTAGATCGATTCGTTTCTTCTCTTTATCTTTGGTCCTGATTTTATCGACGTTAAGGTCAAGAAATGTTTGAATCGCGCTTTTATACGCTTCGAAGCGTAAACCTTTGATTACCTTGTTTTCAATAGCCAGCCCCATTTCCCTATAATTTCTCTCGTCATAAAATTACCTGTATCGTCCGAGGTGCTCGCGGTGCATTCGCAATGAGAATCGAACGTTCATTCATCGAACGTGCGGCTCACATTTACGTCTATGTCCACGTTACGATTACCGTCATCTTTTCGCCGACCTTAAACTCGCGATCGGTGTCTCGTTTGCAATCATCGATCATCTATGTATTTCCATAGAATCCTCGAATAAAAATATTTTAGTATTTATCGTTTATCGAAAGGATCGACGCGAAAGCAATCGACGAATCATCCTCGATCGCTACGTAGGACATTTGTCCGAGTCACGCGAACTGCGCTGGCGCGGCGGCGGCGGCGGCGGCGGCGGCGTCGCCGCTTACGAAATTCAAATCTTCGGTCTCTGGAGAAGAGACGTACCAGACGGACAGAACCGTGTTTTGGTGGTTAAGGAGGAGGGATCTTTCTTCGGTCAGTGGGTCGAAGAAAGTAGTGACCACGAGTGGTTTACCTTGGTTAATACTTGTCCGACTATATGGAGATTCCATAATAGTAGCCAGGCTTCAAAGGGTCGCGGAATACTGAACTGGACAATATTATTGTCTGCCTACTTTTGCTGCCTCTTCGCGCAATCTATTCACCGATAAAACAGACTCCGCTTCAGCTTCAGGATTCTATATTGTTTCAACAGGTAGGTTATTTTTTTCGAAGGAAAACCCTGTGTCGAAAAGGTGAGCTAATCAAAGTTGGGTTAAAGTGCGTAAACGGAGAAAGAAGAAAACAGACGAGTATTAATATTAATCAATTATCGCCAGTTTGTCAATTTTTCGCACTCTGCCCGTACTCTGAAAAAATAACAACTAATTATTTCGAACCGACACGTTCGATACGGTATCGGTACCGTAACCGCGACGATATCCTCTCTATCCAACCGAGCATACATTTTTCCTTCCCCTTTCGTTCAACGTTTTCCTTTGTGCAGACGCACGATCAACGTTGAAAAAAAGAGAAGGTATTCGATCCAAACACGGACCCGATCAGTTGACACGATGGAATTAAGATACAAATGCGTATGTAAATATTTCTTTAAAAAGAAGAAAAGAATGGGAGAAACTCGCGGAAATTTGTTCGAATAATGAATACCTACACCATCAACGTGCTATCAAAGAAAAAAAAAGAAAAGAAAACCAGGAGAAAACGAAAATGCTTTTACTGTCGCGTTGCAGACGGTATCTATCGTCTGTGTTGGCGTCGTTTGTTTGGTAAAAAAGAAGGCCGGTTTCTTTTTTTCGAGGTCTGAACGATCATGCGGCCGTGCGGCCGTGCGGGCATGCGGCCAGACCAGCCACAGATGGGACGGACGCGGACGGTCGCGTAGTATGCAACAAGTCCTCTGTTGGTACCAGGTTGCCAAAGGAGGTCACCCGGTCACCCAGATGAGGTTCCTTGCCCGTTGTTAGCTCCGCGCATCGGGCCAATGGCGTGGCACCTCATCGTCGCCGTGGCCAATCCTGTCGCCAGTTTTGGTACCGACCGCCGACCGATCGCCGCGGCCGATCCGAGACCCGAGCGCGGCTTTGTGCCCAGATTTAAGCTTCTTCCTAGCTGGACAGGATCGTCCAGCCTCTTCGATCTGTGGATCCTTTTAACAGTTTCGGCGGTACCTTCCACGGCATCATTCAACGGACACACTACGAATATCTTTCGTCCTCCTTCGAGCCAAATTCTCATCTGCAAAATTAAGGAAGACGACACGATGGCCGCGAGGTCCACGATTCTGGTGCTTCTGACCACCGCCGTTGTCGCGGTGTCTTCGGCTGGATTTCTCGGTGAGCGGATCAGCTACTCGATCGTGAAAATCGTGAAAATCGTGAAAATTCTTTTTCCTTTTTCTTTTCTCTTTTTTCGGAAATTCTTATCACATGCTGGCAAGAGTTTTCTCGAAGGTGATCTATTCGATTCACGTGAAACAAGTGTCGTTACAGCGCGGTATAAAGACGGGAATCGACAGTAAATAAATACGCGGCTAAATAGAAACACTATATTTCCTTCTATTTGCAAGTGAGTTTTCGACGTGGTTCCTTTTTTACGCGTCAACTTGGTCACGACTTTGCTCCCTATCACGTTACTAGTTTTCATTTGTCTAGATATTGGTTGGTGGACGGAACATTGAATTCCGAAATCTCCCAAAATAACAATTTACCCGAATAAAGCGAGAAGCTCTCTCTCTCTCTCTCTCTCTCTCTCTCTCTCTCTCTCTCTCTCTCTTTCTCTCTCTTTCTCTATATCTATCTATCTCATTTCAGCCTTTTTTGTGCTTACTTTGAAAAGACGTAATCTTGTTGATTTTTGGTGGATGAGCGTTAACAAATTCGACGGAAACAGAATCGGTGTCAGCCTGTTAAGAGAGAATTCGATTTACATCGATGGTAGCTGCTCGATGGAAAGCACAACGATTTTTTCCATCGACTTTCGATCGACGACTTTCGTTTCGTTCCAATTTCTCCTACCAAGTTTCTCTTGAGCGCCTTTTATTTTCCCTCGATAGAATCGCTGCTTTCCTGGGAGTTGCCGAACGCTGTGGGGAGGAGATCCTCGATGCCGCCGCAGTCGCAATGCTTGTGCCAGACATTCAATTGTTTGTGCTGCGTCGATCTAAACCTAACTGCGACGATCGATTTGGGCGGTGCTGCCTGTATCAACGTCAAACAAAAAGAACAAAACGTCTCGTTAAACTTGAGCTACGGCGACAATCCGGTGCACAATGCCACCATCAAAATTGGTAACCAGTATACTACGATATATATATCGAGCTGTCTATTTGTTCGTTCGAATGGTCGAGAACACGGACTGGTCGCGCCAAGTTCAGTTCAGTTCAATTCAGTTCAATTCAGTTCAGGATCGTTCAGAAACGACAAGTTTTCTTAATTTCATCTAGTGATAAATGTTTTGGGCATTATCCAAACATCCGCGTGTAATCTTTACAAAGTGCATTTCGATAGCCGTAATTGGTACGCTCAAGTTGCGATTAATTATTCGACTTGAGATGAAATTTCAAAACTGAGAAAAATTGATAGCTACGTTAAATTACAAGTGGACTCAGGTCCAACAAGCATCGCTGACATAAAACGATAAAACAAAACAGGTTTTGCAGGGGGGTGGTCGTAAAAATGATAATTATTAATTCGAATTTTCCGCAGCCGATGCAGCCAACAAACCGACGTGCATGAACCTTTTGTCAGACTTGGCACAGATATGTGCGAAATTTACGTCTGTTCAACGAACCGACGCTGGTTACGACGGATGTCTAGTGATAGAGCCCTCCTTGCTGGGTACACCGCAAGTCACCTACCACATGGGATGCTTCAATTTCAATCAAGTTGTGAGGCAAATCCAAGTGTCCGCGTGAGTAAGATTTGAAAAACCGTACCGATACGTAAACGTAACTGACTTGATACCGACAGACGCGTCGCGTTAACACATTCGCTATCCGCGACTGGAAATATGGACACGATAATTTTGCTTTCTTAACAATGACAATCCTACAGTTGATTAAGCCTGTCTAGTTTCTTTAGTTTTAGAGAAAGCCTTCCAATGTTTGTTTTGTATTCGACGGGTGAAAAAAATCATTAACGTTGTTTCCCTTAACTAAAATGCTACTCTCACAGCATCACGGAGACTACAGAGGCCACGGAGAGTACCGAGGAAGACGAGGAAACCCTAAACACCGAGGAACTTATAGCAGCTGTGACTGCCAGTGCGGAACAAGGAATAGCTCTGTTCTCCCAGTGGTTGGGTCTGAACCTGAATCCCAAACTGAATTTGACCAGCAACAACGATAATCGGATAATCGATCAACGTATCGTTGTATCCACGACATCGAGATCAGCTCGTACTCACTGGGACCAGGAGGAGAAGAACGAAGAGCGATTCAAGCAGTTACTTAGCGCTCAGGATAACGTTTTAAAAGGTTCGGCAACGATCGGCCGATCGATCGGAGCAGAAACGACCTTTGTTTATTCCAAGCCCACCGAGTTATTATCTGAAAAAAATTCAGTCGAACGAGACCTTGACGAGGTCAAAATTGCTAATCCTCGACATCTGGTCATGGTACCAAGAGAATCCAGACGGGGTGGTAGAGCGTACAACATACATCAACACGTCAACGAAATCTGAGGACATTCGTTTTCTTCGAACGCGATCGATTCAAAATAAAAATCGTACGTGCGTAGAAATTAGGATATACCACACGCGTACACTGTACACTCTCACGATGTGTTAGCTAGAGCTATTAACGTTGTGTATTTCATTCATTGTTGTTGTTGTTGTTGTTGTTGTCGTCGTCGTCGTCGTCGTCGTCGTCGTCGTCGTCGTCGTCATTGTTGTTTTTTCTGTTTTTCCTCTCACTAAATTGTGAATTAGGAATCTTTAGATTCCGGAACTGGAGAATGGTCCAAGGTTCTCTTTGTAAAGAAAACGGAGCACAAGGGAGAATTTCAATTTCTTGGCATTGAAAAGTATTCTCCATTTCATGGGAGGACGTTGCGAGCAATTACTGAGATCGTTGAAAAAACATTAGTAAATCGAAAATATTCGTTTCCTCAGATATTTATTTGTTTAAATTTATTTGTCAAAAGTATTTGAAAAAAATGGGACCTTTGAAAGGTGAGGCACTGCAGCTGTTGCTTCCTCTCCCATACATCTCTTCCTAATCTGTGCCTAGATTCGTATATTCGTCATTTAAATAAAGTAAGAAAACCAAATAATGCTTTCACGCTTAAATCGTGGTAAAACTGTAAATCACATTTTCTAACCGTACTTATATGTAACATTGTCGTAACGAGGGAAATTAATAAACCCTAAAACAACGAGTGTGGTCACTTTGTTTATCCCGCCTTATTTTCTAGTTTTCGGTGCACAAATCGACAAGCGTCCATTTAGACGAGATTAACCGTTTGAGTGTTAACAATAAGTATCTGCAACGTGATCTGTCATCTTCCATCTTCCATCTTTCATCTTCCACCTTCCATCTGTCATCGGTCCAATGACGATACATTAAATTTTTAATAATATGGTTATGATTTCAATTGCGAGTAAACTAAACTGTATAATCTTTTTAGAAGATCTACTTACTCGGTTCATACGCGAAACGTCGAATAGCGAAATAGAGGAACGATGATGAATATTAACGTTCGACGACACCAAGTAGGGGAAAAAGATCACGCTGTTTGGCACTATTTATGGGCATTCTTACCATCGCTTTTCCAGTCAAACTCAAACGGTTAATTTTAACTTAATTAACGTCGCTTTATTCCTTGGAAGACAATGAGAATTGACGTGGCAATGCCGTCGATTCCGTCGCTATTTCGATTTCCCTGTTGAAGAACAAAAATCTGACAGAACGTATCAACGTTCAACATTGATATTAATGGCGGTTAATGTGTCTAAGTATAAGTATAATGTCGTTGGAAAAAGGCGATATATTAATTGTAAGTCTAATTAATTAGCGACCGATTGACTACTTTCGTTGACACTGTTTCCACTTTGAAAAGTCGATATAAGAAAGATATAGTTGCGTGTAAGTGTGTATATGTATGTATATGTAGATAGATATACACACACGCGCAGACGCTCGCGAGCGCGCATTATCTTACAAGTGTGTATATATGTATATCTCTAAGCGTATATATATATATATTTTTCTTCTCGTTTTCTTCTCGATACTATATACGGATATATTTATAAAATAAAAAGTACACAAGATTGAAAATATTTTCTCGAAACGAAATATTACAAGTGGACTAGATACTAATAACATTTTTTCTCCTTAAAGTAAATACGTGTTCTTCTGATCCAGTCAAAATATATACAGTAAAGACTGGATAAATGCCAGATGACTATTTCCACTAGGGGCGGAGGGATGGGGTCTCCTCTTGACGCTCGATGACAACGCTTGGCGAGCGGACAGTGTAATATGATCCTAACCGATTGATACGCTTCTGCCGACTGCTTTTTTCCTCGGACCTCTTTCTCCCGATTTTCTATCCAGTCTTTACTGTATACAGTTCTTTAGATATGCGTTTTTTTTTTCATGTTCGTTTCATTCGTCTTGTAGTAAAAATATTTTTTGGACTCGATCTTTGGGCAAACATCGTTAATTCTATGCATAGTTAAAAAATAATTTGATCTTTAATTGCGACAACATGGAAAACTTTGAGAATCCTGTTACGCGCGTCATGTTAGATCAGGCCATTCGGACTGCGGATTCATCGAAGGCGTCGCGTCGCGTCGCGTCGCGTCGCGTTGATCGTTTATCGAATCGACCGATCATTCTATAAATTCGTTGATACGTCGATGTGTGTTCGATATTACGATATTCGAGCAACATCTGCTGCGAATCGTACGTGATATCGGTACTTTTTACAACGAATCTCGTTTTACAAAAATAAATCATCGCATGCTAGTTACTAAATCGCGGAGTACGTTGATTCTTCTGTACCCACGAGTACGTCGTTTGATCAATTTTAATCATCGTGATTGCTTACAAAAGTAGAATTACTCCACCAAGGACGAAGACGGGGGCAGTTAAAAGTACGAGTAAATTCTGGAAAATGCAACATGAGAAAGAGTTACGAAAGCCAGAGTCTTAAGCGAACCATTTCAGGTAACTTTAAGGGGACTTTAAGGGAATGATTGATTAATAAAGATTATCGATAAATATCGAATATAACATTATTCGATTACATATACAGTATTTCGATTTTTGTACATCGCTGTTTGACTACAAGACATTCGCCTCTTTCTTCTAATCCAGCCACGTCGCGTCGCGTCACGACTCGCGACGCGAGTATTCAAGTCACGAACGTAAGAAAATTTTTTGTTGCACATATGAAACACGATAAAAAATCATGATGTTATTATTGCCAGCAATAATAATACGATATCGTAGTACGGCGTTGAAAAGCAACATATGTGAAATATTCATTATTTATACGTCCTTTTATATGGAGCGAAGAGAGTGGTGTTTACGCGAGTACGTATCAGCAACGTCTAAATACGGAACGAAGACGTAAGGGTTTTGCGCAAAATGTTGCATCAAAAGATGAAATAGTTCATTTGATTTGTTGACGTGACGCAGGAGGACCTACCGGTGGTAAAGTCAGAGAATCCCTTTTCTTTTTGTTCACGCGACGCCCAACGTGTAAAACTACGTCTCCGGCTTTTACCGCCTTGAATTCGGCGATTGCCTCGGCATGTGTCATACCGTCGAGTGGTTTTGAATTTATCGACAAAATTTCGTCTCCTAAAAAAACGTTTGATTCGTTTATTAGTCGATAACAAGCCGATGATAGACTGGTCGAATCTGTTTTTACCTTCTTTGACAGTTCCAAGGTCGGCGGCCTGGCCGTTAGGAAAGACGGTTTTCACATAGATTCCCATGTTCCCTCGCGGACTGTCGGTGCCGCCAACGATACTAAAACCGAGTCCTTTAAGACCGGGACCCTTATAAAATCTGGCAGTTAATATCGTGAATGACGCGCCACCCTTGCCAGGCCTTGGTAGAGTACAGAATTTTGACTCTTCACCCTCGCCAGCTTCGTCGATGTCTTCGAGTTCGGAGTCGGTATTCAAGCCTTCGTCTGTGTCTTGAATACCCTGCGAGGAAAGAAACTCGTCGTTGTAATATCATGCCAAATATTTATTTATCGATACCGATGGAACATGGCACATAGTTGGTATCTACCTTGTCTCTACTTACTTGCCAAGTCTTCAAACCGGACCCGGAAGAACTAGGAATATTGGCGACGCTTCTGCTGTTGATTCTTCTCGTAGTCTTCTTGCCAGGACTTTTCTCGGATCCCAAACTGGAAGGCCCGTCCTCTCTGACCAGGCAAGAGGAGCAGCCTAACTCGGATCCATTCGAGTAATTGCTCACCTGACCTCCTACTTTAAAGTCGGTCACTCTCTTGCGAGGTGTCACCCTCGGTATGTGAATCTCATCGAACGAAGACTCCCCGTCCTTGTCGTTTCTCGGAAAATGGACATTTTCATAGGAATGGTGATCTCTAGTCTCGGAGTTGGTTTGCGCCAAATGTCTGTCCGTATGTGGAACAACGAACGACGAAAATTCCGATCCGTAGCCCCGTTGAAAACGCACGTTTTCGTACGAAGGATCTTGGGGGTCATGACCATCGTGGCGATGGTGATGGTGATGATGATGGTGATGGTGATGACGGTGTTTTCCGGTATCGCGATTCTCAGAATTGCTACGTTGCAAGAGAGCCCTGGATCGTGGACAATATCCCGATGATGCAGATGCAGATGCAGATGCAGATGCAGAGGCAGAGGCAGAGGCAGAGGCAGAGGCAGAGGCAGAGGTAGAGGTAGAGGCGGAAGCGAACAACACGTCCTCGTAAACGTCTTTGCAAGTTTGATCGCGACTCGGAATCGGGGAATCACAGACGCTGTTGGTTCGCGAGTACGTCAACTTTTTGTTAGTATTTGCCAACGGGCTAGTGCAGTTCGTGGTGTTTGGTAGGCTTCCCTCCTCCAACGTTTCGAGGTTCTCGTGAAACGGATAAGGCGGAAGAGATGTCGGCTCGGTGCATTCGGACCCGTAGCAGTCACCGTCCAAGTGTTGACTGGACGACGAGGTCAACGGACTCGGCACGTAAAAATTCGACACGGTCTCCTTCGGCGAGAACACCTCAGCCACGCTCAGAGCTTTTCGTTTTCGGATACCGGCGTTTATTTTGCTGAATTTGTTCCGCAAAACATGCTGAATGTCGGCGATACCCTTGTTGGTGCCTGAAAATCGGTTCGCGATTAATCGGATTCTCGAATTTTCTTCTTCCTTCGATATACATATGCATACGTGTATACATACATGTATTTCCTAGAAACGCCATCTTAATTTTTGTTACTTCCTTACCTGGCAGTCTTAGAGAGCTAGTCTGTAAGAATTTCTTGGGTGAATCGGCATCGTGAAGACTCTTCGTAGCCGGAGAGGATTCTCTGCTAGCTGGGCTGGATCTGACCGGTTGAATTACACCAGCCTGAGTCGTTCCACCTTGTATAAGAGCTTCTTGAGGCTCCGAAGTTTCCTGCACGGAACACCTTCTTCGGAGTTTTCTCCATCGCTGACTGATACTCTTGTTCCATAGATTCAAGTCTGCAACACAAACACAAACGATTATCGTCAAGTTCACAAATGCGAATTGCCGTTCCACGAACAAATATCCAAACGAATTTCTCGGCCATCGACCATCGACCATTTCGAATGCTATTAGAAAAGTAACGTTATCGTATACGACAGATGAAAAGAACAATTTCTTTCGATTCGTCGAGCTTAATGACCAGAAACGTTTAGATATATCCGATAACTACGTTGTTAACAAAGTCCATTCTCGGCTTTTCAAGCCGAGAGAAAGTGTAATAACGTAAAGGTATACATTGTATCGATAAGTAACGACGATAATATAATATGTACTATCGAATGGAAAAATTCATTAGACTTTGGAGAAAATTCAAGTATTTATCGTGAGATTACAATTCAATATAGCCTCCATGTTGTTCACCGAGTATCCGTATCATGTGGTCGTGAAAGATGAGACACCAGCTGAATTCCGCTCTCTTTACGGGATCCTGCGAGAGTAGCGCTCCTTTGACTTCTTCTTTCTCCTTGGAGGGTAGTTTTGGTAACCTTGAGAAAATGACACGCATAACCAACTTGACGGTTTCTTTCACTGACGCGACAACAGAAAATCAGCGTGTCATGAATTATTAATAAAAGTCGTTGATGGACAAGCCAGAGGTCACGACATCGGGCCCTCGATGAATTTGCACGTAATGTTAATTCGATTAATCGCATTTACAATTGCGCGTTGTTTTTGCCACGTGGAGAACGAAATCGTTTCGAGGTAAAGCATTCTGAAGAGGCGACGCGACGTACGCGAGTATCACGGGCCCAGGGACTATGAAATTATGATGTTGTCTTCACGGTTGCCTTTGACGATCGTTGCGGACACACTGGAGCGTCGGTGACGCTTACAATCACCATTATTATCCGGCGTTACACAGTCATCTTGGAAAATGCACTTTCACTTCCATACGTAGGTACGTATCTTTGAGTGCGTCTGGCTCTACGAAGCTCTTTTCGTTTCGATTCGATTCGATTCGATTCGATTCGGCAAGATAGAGCATAGAGGTTATTGTTAGAGCATAGAGCGCGCTACCGCCATCGCGATCGCCATCGCCATCGCCATCGCCATCGCCATCGCCACCGCATCGTCGGCGTTGACGGACGCGACCATTGACGCCACGTCAGGACTCTTCTCTTAAGATTACAAATTTTCTTTAATTTTTCGCTGATTTATAATTCTCCTTTAAAAGAAAATAACCATTTCATGGAGGAAAGTATGTTTACACAGCGTCGTCCGCAGATTCGCCAATTCATCATTCTGATCTCTGTCAAGTGTCAGCACGATACATATACATATACATATACAATGTATTAAATCGTGAATGCGAGCAAGTTCCGCAGGAGCTCAAAGATATTCGTTTATTCAGAGGTTGGTCCAGCCTCTTTTGATGTTTCGTGCTTCATATCGTGCGTGATTGATTTATTGTTAGCGAAATAAAAGGTAGGTCACGGTAGGTGATTCACGGTTTTACTCGATTCAAACTTGTCGCGTGTTTTCAACGACTCGTTTCATGTCTCATTCGCTGGAATAACGGGAAATGTCCAACGTTCGTTATCGGTCTCATTGTTGCGGAATAGCAACCAGAGCGAGGAGTGAATCGAGATTCGATCGAAATCGATATTCGATGTAGAAATACCTCTGACTGTGTGACGTTAATTAAAATTTGTCAGCATCGGCGAGCTTTATGGAAATCAATTTCGCACCGAAAACTGGAATTTTTACCTCGAGGTGGTCGACCGATAAAGCACCGAAGATAATCCGACCTTGTTGCCTCTTGTCCGATTCTTCGTTAAAATTCGATTTATCCATCGCTCGAATACAGTCGGTAGGTTCTTCTGCTTGTAATCGTTTTCTCAAAGCATAAACTTGGACAGTTTGAACTCGTCTGGATGTAGAAGCATTTGCAACTCTAATCGAAGTAGCTCGGCGTAAAAGTAAAAGAAACCGACGATGTACGCGAGCATTATTGAGTTTTCTCAAAACGAAAAAGAACGATAGATATATACATATATATATATGTCAATTTCAGACAGAGAATTCAAACGCAGGGCGGTTGGGCTGCGATTTCGAAAACTATCGAGTCCGCACTGTACGTTGTACGCGGTCTCGACATGAACTGAAACTGAAAGACTGGAAGTTTACGGTTGGCCGTGTGCGTAAAGCATTACATGCGTGTGCGTAACAGAATCGACACACGTGCACGGCATCGTACCTGTGTATACAGGGTGGCGTGCAAGTAAGCAGAGAGTCACGTTCGTCCTCCATTCCTTCTACAAATACCCAACGATAGCGTAAAGCGTAACTACGAAATAAGACGAGACAAAAAAGGAATACATAGATTGCAAGCGACTACCATTTATCAGAGAAATCAAAACCTAAGAATTTGTTCAAAAAAATTCTTTCTGACGCGATGTTCATTTTTAAGCCTTGTCGAATCCAAACATTACATACACACACACACACACACACACACACACACACACACACACACACACACACACA